ATCAACGATGGATAATATATTTGTACTGAATCACTTAATACAAAAGAAAGGAGATGGAAAAAAAGTGGAAAGGAAGTTATACGCGCTGTTCGGGTTAGGCAACAGTTTCCCGAAAAGTGGAGGGGATAATGTTGGTACCAAGGAAAATCTGTACACAATATGATTTAAAGATTCTGTTCTTTGTAACTGCACTGCTAAATTGATGCAATAAATTGAAATGAGGCAAATATACGTTTTCTCACTCTAACATTTTGTATTAGTTCAGCAGTGCAGTTACAAAAAACAGATCTTTAAATTATATCGTGTAGAGATTTCTCTTGGTACCAACATTATCCCCTCCACTTTTCGGGAAACTGTCGCCTAATCGATTCTTAACGGTACTCAAGTGTTAAATTCTTGTATTAATTTTTTCCATATTATGCGTGTTACTTTTTACCACATTTGTTTTGTGTTAAATTTATACGTAAATGAGAGTGGATGATTTGGGCTACGTGAAATGTGTTAAATTTAACACATCAGTTTTTACAGTGTAATAATTATTTCTCTATGTGATTGAAGTTACAAGTACCAAACATTTTTTCTCAGTATAAGTATCATTATTATGAGTTACGCACGTGTCGATGGAGTGAGGATCGAGAATGATTTTTTCTCCACCTTTGTGTCGTATTTAGCGCTCGATCTCACAAGCTTGTTAAGTACAACGTAACGATAATTCGTGAACTTTTCACGACGGATTTGCATCGCGAACTTTCCGCACAATCTTAACAGCAAAAAGAAGATAATATCACGATGCGGAAATATGAATTTCAACAGAAAAGATATGTGTGATTAATGCCTTTTCGCTTAGTCACATGTTGTTGATATGTCGATTTACGCACGGCGTTTCTCAGTCGCGTTAACGTATTCTCGAAATCGTTAAGCTGACCGTTGGCATTAAAATTCTGTCTAGAATGCGGTCTTCGCAAAATTCCCGGATCTACGAAGCTTCGCGTTGGCCAACGTAGCCAGCGTCGACGTCAGAGACGCTCTCTACAAGCACTTTGGTTCACTCAGGTGAGTCTTTCTTTTGTAGTAATTGTTCTCGATGAAACACGGTGACTAGAGTCATGCACTTTGAAGAAAAGGTAAAAGAAGAAAAAGAAAAATAATATTGAAACCATGAGACTTAATGTGTCCGTCAGCCTGGCATTGACGTCAAAACAGATAAAACGTTGTTTTTCCTTTTTTTCTTTCAGCCAAGAGAAACTGAGAGGCATCGCAAGTTATTTAAATTTAGTGCCGCCCGAGGAACGCGAGAAGGATGAGAATTGGTATCGCTTGGATATAGATTTCCTGCGTGAACTTTTGGTAAGAGTCAGCTAAAGAGAAACGTAAATAGAAAGAAAAGAAAAAGAACAAGAGAGATGCTATCGCGTCAGTTTGTTGGATATTGATCAATCAATTAAAATTTTCTCCAGCTAAAACAATTGACGATTCAATGATCAGTCATTGAATGATTAATCAATCATCATATAAGGCAAAAGTGCATCATGTATAAAATCGCAAATAATTTCGTCAATTGACGAAATTATTTATAATTTTATACGTGACGATATTTTTATGTTATTCTAGTCGAAGGAAGTTTCAATCGATCAATGCCCAACACTGTAAAATTTTAAAATTAAAATTAAAATTAAAATTTTCTCCAGCTAAAACAATTGACGATTCAATGATCAGTCATTGAATGATTAATCAATCATCATATAAGGCAAAAGTGCATCATGTATAAAATCGCAAATAATTTCGTCAATTGACGAAATTATTTATAATTTTATACGTGACGATATTTTTATGTTATTCTAGTCGAAGGAAGTTTCAATCGATCAATGCCCAACACTGTAAAATTTTAAAATTAAAATTAAAATTAAAATTTTCTCCAGCTAAAACAATTGACGATTCAATGATCAGTCATTGAATGATTAATCAATCATCATATAAGGCAAAAGTGCATCATGTATAAAATCGCAAATAATTTCGTCAATTGACGAAATTATTTATAATTTTATACGTGACGATATTTTTATGTTATTCTAGTCTAGAAGGAAGTTTCAATCGATCAATGCCCAACACTGTACCGCGCGAGATAGCACAATCAGTTTGCACAATCACGCGGTCGCGCTGAATTCTAAGGTGCGCTTTTTTCAGATATCTCGACACGAGCGTAGGCCGTCGCAACTCGAGGAGCTGAATGAGATGCCACTTTATCCAACCGAGGACATCATCTGGAACGAGAGCGTCGTCCCAACCGAATACTTTTCCGGCGAGGACTGTTTGGCTCTGCCGAAATTGAACCTTCAGTTCCTCACGTTGCACGATTACCTGCTGCGCAACTTCAATTTGTTCCGGTTAGAGTCTACGTGTAAGTAGAAGATGGTTAAAAATGTGTGTCGATCTTTAAATGTGTTATGTGTACATATCGTCACTGCTTTTATAGACGAGATACGACAAGATATCGAGGATGCCGTCAGCAGACTAAGTCCTTGGTGAGTTATTCGCGTCATATTTGGCCAGTTCTTTCTTTTTTGTGTCCTTCCTCGGCGTGCGAGAACGATCAGAGTTCTTTTTCCTCGTTCAGGCGAGCCGAAGACGGCGGCGTTTACTTCGGCGGATGGGCCAGGATGGCTCAACCGATCACACAGTTCGCGGTGGTCGAAGTGGCCAAGCCCAACGTGGGCGAGAACAAGCCGTCTAGGGTGCGGGCTGACATCACGATCAATCTCAGCGTTCGCAAAGAGATCAAAACCGAGTGGGAGAATCTCCGTAAGCACGATGTGTGCTTCCTCATCACGGTCAAACCTCCAAATCCTATCGGTAATTAAGACACAAGCCGTTTCTTGCACAAATGCTGTGACTTGACTGTAATAATAATAATAATTACAGCTCCGTAACAATAATATTAGGTAAATTCAAAAGTCTTTCCTCACAAAAATTGAACAAGTGTCTTGGTATAAAAAAAAGTAGAAATATCAACAAATAGAATGTATAGCCCGTGAAAAGACTTCTGAATTAATTTTATAAGACATAAACTGTGTAATGATAATTATTTGTAACAAAAATTTTGAACATTTATATTATTATTAATAAATACTTATTAGTAATTATTACTAATTATTACTAAAATAAAATAAAATGAAGTAAAAATAAATGTAAATTATTACTAGTAAGTAACAATTTAATTATTTGTAGATAATAAAATGTAGACACAAGTTTCACAATATGATACGCAACATCAGTACACACGAATTCGCGACCAATCATCATGTTGTTGTAGGCACCAAATACAGCCACAAGCTTCCCTTCGTGCCCCAAGTGGGTCTAACCACGGTGCGCGGTTGTGAGGTTGAAGGCATGCTCGATTCGAATGGCAGAGTGATAGAGGATGGCCCGGAACCTAGGCCAATTTTACCAGGCGACTCTCGGACCTACAGAGTCTGGTTGGACTGCAATCAATATCGAATAGACATGGACAACGCCAGTCATGGCGGTGACGATGTCTACGAGGGATTCAATATTATAATGAGACGTAAGCCCAAGGAGAATAACTTCAAGGCGGTGTTAGAGACGATTAGAGAGCTCATGAATACCGAATGCGTCGTTCCGGACTGGCTGCACGATATCATTCTCGGATACGGCGATCCCGGTGCAGCCTGCTATTCGAGGTATTTAAATCGGCGTTCGACTATATGTTCCTTTCGCAGCGCTTTCGATGTGTGACACATTATTCGTGCGACACATTCGGACGATAATTCGATGTGTTGATGATCCACTGGCGAATCGATTAGTCCTTATGATTAATTTAAATGTTCATTTAAACGCTCATTTAAATTTACTCATTGATTTATTCGAGAATGGATGACAGTATAAAAAGAGAAGATATTGTACTTAAAATAATTTGTCTTCACGTGACAGAATGCCGGACGAGATCGCGACGATGGATTTCAATGATACGTTCCTCGATATAGACCATCTGCGAGCGAGTTTTCCTCAATACGATATCAAGACAAATTCCGAGGATGAGAAGAATCTCGTGCGACCGTTCAAATTGATTTTTGAGGATGTCCTGGCGAAGCGTAACAATGAATCCGCAAAGATCATCAAGGTCAAACCGCACGTGCCACCCAGCCGAGGTCCGTACAGAGCGAATGAACCAAAGAAGTGAGTACTTGCTTCCTTATTGAGTCACACAATTAATAACAAGTGTATCAATATACTTTTTTCAACTTATACGTTATCACATTGCAGAAACCAAATCCCTTTCACGCCGACGCAAGTTGAAGCTATTCGAGCTGGAATGCAACCAGGCCTAACGTTGGTGGTCGGTCCGCCCGGTACCGGCAAAACAGACGTCGCCGTACAGATCATCTCGAATTTGTATCATAATTTCCCGAATCAACGAACGCTAATCGTCACTCACTCCAATCAAGCGCTCAATCAGCTATTCGAGAAGATCATGGCGTTAGACATCGACGAAAGGCATCTTCTGCGTCTCGGTCACGGAGAGGAAGCTTTGGAAACCGAGAAGGATTTCAGTCGTTATGGTAGAGTCAACTATGTTCTTGCTAAGCGTTTGGATCTGCTTCTGGAGGTTCAGCGGTTACAGGTGCGAGTTCCCTTTCGTGTGTTGTAAGATCGGAAAAAATTTCGGCGCGCACGTTTGACTCAAACGTATTATTATTCTCTCATTCTAATAATTGCGTTTCATCGTTCATTGACGCGCTTTATCCACTTGTTCACGTTTACAGGAATCGCTGAACGTGAAGGGCGACGTCGCGTATACTTGTGAGACGGCGGGATATTTCTTCATGTATCAGATATCCACGAGATGGGATCGTTTCGAAGCCAGGATCAAGCAGCGGCAGAGCGTGAGCGAAAAGTCCGATTTGGCTTCCATAGTTGATGAGGAGTTTCCATTCCACAAGTTCTTCGATAACGCGCCACAACCGCTGTTCAAGCGCAATAGTTATGAGGAAGATCTCAAGATTGCATGCAGCTGTTACCGGTGAGAGTGCACTCGATAATGAACTGTCGCGAGACAAACTATTGAGAAGCGTTTGCAGAACGGTTAAAATGTATCTTTACGATGGGGGGAGATTCACACATTCGCATAAATTTTTCACGAGCGCTTTTGGATTTTTCAATAGTATGAACATTTTTATAAAATTTTTGAAACACTAACGGAGAGCTATTGTATACGCAGGTATATCGAAAGGATATTCGCACAACTGGAAGAGTTCCGCGCATTTGAATTGTTGAGATCCGGTCTTGACAGATCAAAATATCTACTCGTAAAAGAGGCCAAGGTTATCGCTATGACTTGCACACACGCAGCGCTTAAGAGACGCGAGCTTGTCGACATGGGCTTCAAGTATGACAACATTCTAATGGAGGAGTCAGCGCAGATCTTGGAGATCGAGACCTTCATACCGTTGCTGTTGCAAAATCCTCAGGACGGCTACAATCGCCTGAAGCGATGGATCATGATAGGCGATCACCACCAACTGCCGCCCGTCATCAAGAATATGGCTTTTCAGAAGTACTCGAATATGGAGCAATCGTTGTTCGCGCGTTTCGTGCGATTGGGTGTTCCCACGGTCGACCTGGACGGCCAAGGTCGTGCCAGGCCTAGCATCTGTAATCTCTATAATTGGCGCTACAAGAAATTGGGCAATCTGGCGCACGTGGAACGTAGCCCCGAGTACCTGGTGGCGAACGCCGGCTTTCTGTACGACTTCCAACTGGTCAATGTCGAGGACTTCAACGGTGTCGGTGAAAGCGAGCCGAGCGCTTACTTCTACCAGAATCTCGCCGAGGCCGAGTATTGTGTCGCGGTGTTCATGTACATGCGTCTGCTGGGTTATCCGGCCGACAAGATCAGCATATTGACTACCTACAACGGCCAGAAGCATCTCATAAGGGACGTGATTAACATCCGATGCGCGAACAATCCGCTGATTGGTCGGCCCAACAAAGTGACTACCGTCGACAAATATCAGGGTCAACAGAACGACTACATCTTGTTATCCCTGGTGAAGACACGCGCGGTCGGTCATCTGAGGGACGCGAGGCGTCTAGTGGTGGCGATGTCGCGCGCCCGTCTCGGCCTCTACGTCTTCGCCCGTGTGTCCCTTTTCAAGAACTGCTTCGAGCTGACGCCGGCGTTTGATCAGCTGATGCAGAGACCGTTGAAGCTGCAGCTGCTACCACAGGAGGTCTATCCTACCGAGCGGCCAAACGAGGCCGTGCCTTCGACGGTTCCGATGGAGATCGAGGATATGCCGCATATGGCCAAGTTCGTCTACGATTATTACATGGAGAAAGTCAGCGGCATGAAGGTAATCCCCAGATCGTGTTGTATACATAATTTGTTTCTCACACACATTGTCTCCTCGATGCTAACGAAGACGGGCGGGTTTCTCTTCTCGTTTTTTTCAGGAGTCGCAAAAGATGTGGCAGAAGCCAGGAACCATGCAGACCACGAGCAACCGGCTGCACAAAACCCCTGCCCACCCCGGAGCCGACGACGATACCGACGACGACGACGACGACGACGACGACGACGACGACGACGGCGACAAAGAAGAAGAAGAACAAAGTAAACCCAAAACGCAAGAAACTGCAGAAGAAACGACAGAGACCAAGTACGAGCCAATCAAGAATTTAGTTGAAGATCCACCGAGCGAGGCTGAGGAAGACGCTGCTTGAGCAGCGAGACACATCGCGACGTTACTTGTGCGTGTGCTAAGACTGACACTAAACTGGAAAACGCACCGTTTACAAAAATCGAACAATCAGTTATATAATTTGAAGCTAGAAGAAGCAGCTTTCACTTCCAATATTGAGATGTCAATACGCATCTCGATCATCGAGAGCTAGCTCTGCCAGCGTTCGATTCTTACTAAGAATATGTATTTTATTATTGCAGATCATCGTTTTACTGTACAATAGTAGACTCTTCGTACGTGACGTATTAAAATAAACTATTATTTTTACAAGTGGCACGGTACACGAAACTTTAGTCTCCGTACGCGTTTTGTCTCGACACTTTGAGTCCCGTGTCGTTATCGTGGCTGCTACTCGCGCAGAAGTTCTCGCGCGTTTTCACGAGAACAGTTCGTCTATCTTCTTCTTGGTCGGCGTCCCTTTCCGACGCGCCTCCAGCCTCTGCATCTTCAATCTGTCCGGCTTGTCCGGAGTCCTCCTCGTGACGTTCTGTGAGCCGCTCTGTCGCACGCTCGACGGCACGTAACTGTCGTCAAATTTCATTAGCTTACTCGGCGACTTGAAGTCGGGTTCGTACTCCTCTATGGAAGGCTTGATTCCTTTCGAATTGGGCACGTACTCCTCCAGAATGCTCTCAGGGATCATCGTGGTGGCGCATGGTTCGTACATCTCCAGCTGCTCGATGGAATTCGGCACGTAGCTCGTCGCGACGTCGTCCATGGCGCGCTTGCTGTCAGCGCACAAAGTCGGCGTGTACTCGTTCGATGTTAATCGCATATTTTCCAGCGCGCTCTTCCGACTAGGTACGTACTTGAAGTCCGGAAACAGTCCCGTCGCATTCGGTGCGTCCGGAATGTACTCCTCCAGCTCTTCCGATGCGTTCTCCGAATCGTCAGAGAGCGTGTATTTGCGATTTCTTTTCCTCTTCGTGAAATTCTCGTGTTCCATCATCGCGATAGTGCGCGAGATCTCCGGTTTCTTCGGCGGGGAGACAGGTTTCTCGGGCGTCTTCTTGATGTCGCTCGTTTGATGGGGAGATCTCTCCTCTTTCGTTCGCTTCGTCGCACTGTCGCCATCATCCAAATCCGCTTTGTTCCCTTTTAATGCTCCCTCCTCACTCGTTTCTCGCTTCACCAATTTCTTCCTGGCCGGCGACACGTGCACCTTGATAGTGGGCAACGATGTTGCGTCGCTTGCACATTCCGGAGGATCGAAAGTGTATCTGTAATCGATTATTGTCGAGTTAGAAAGATAGACCAATGAAAGCTGATCGCGGTTGTTGGTGCGAATCTACGGAAGGAAATGTAGTGCAACAAGTTAGAGTGAAAAAAATACATTTGTTTTCTAACTTATTGCTTTGGTGTAGAAGTTCTTCCAAAAAAGGGCAAATCTAGTGTCTGACAATGTCAACGTACGTGTCGAATATTCTCCCGTCTTTAAACTGCACGCGGTGAGTCAGACCCGAAATTATAACGACATAAAAATACAATCATTTTATTTTACCTGAAAAATTCAATATTTACTGCTACAATGATATTTACTTGTTATATTGAGCTAATCGATAAACAACCAGTAAGCTTATGTGTATTACTTGCCGCCGAATAACAACTAAAAATTAATAATTTCTGTTTTAGCGGAACAAAGCAAGTAACACTTAACTGAAATTGATTTCAAGTTGTCGACTAGACTCACCAGAGTTTGATGAGAGTCACCTTTAGGTTTAAAATTGAGAAGGGCTTATATCACCGCACAGCATTCTTCCAGTTTTATGAGAGATTTTGCTCGGAGCGCAAAGGGCGAATCATCACTCGCACGGTGAATTTTGACACTGAACTTCAACATGACAAAAAAAAGAAGAAGGATCCTCACGTGACTTCCAACTGTCGAGTGGATTTCTTCCATTCACATCCGCGACCTTCGCGATGCGAGCCATCACCGCCGCGTCCATTTCGCAGCACCGCACGCTCCAATATCTTATATAACGCCGCCCAATCCTCGACTTGCAGCCACTTGTTGGTGATGACCTTCCGCCTCTTGATCTCCACCGTTTTCTCCTGCACGGTCACCACGGCGGTCGCCAGGCAGTTGTCCGAGGCCTGCGAACATAGACGCATTTGCGATCGCGTACAGTAGCGTTCGAAGAGACAACCGCGTACCGAACGCTCGATATTAATCGCTGTATCGCTCCGCGAGATCAATCAGACTGTTGAGGACGATACCCTGAGGTGTATCTTCTTCAATTAATATTCTATTAATATCTCGAGGTTTATTGAAAATATTTTAAGTGTTACCGCAGCCAGGAGTTCAATGTTAAGTTAATAACGTTCAGTTCAGTCAATTTCGAGTGAATTCGCTTTCAACTATAGTTACTTGAAAATAATTTATTACCTTTCTTCATGTAAGTTAAAAAATAATTTTTTCGTCGATTAAAATTGTCCGAGTTGCTTACAAATAGAATAGAAAAATGAAAAATAACGTATCATTTTTGTCTCTCTGAGCATTAGTGTTCTTTTCTTGCATGAAATTCTCAGCACAAAATAGTCGACACAAAATTTTTTTTTTATAAGACTTCGTCCTTTCACATAACTTCAATTTACGATTGAAAAGTTAATTGTGTAAAAAGAAGCAAAAATATTGCTTTGCATAATTAACTTTCAACTTAAAGTCAATTCAATTTCAACTTGACTTTTTGCTTATGTAATTTTTAACTTAATTAAAGTCAATTCTATAAGCCACGCATATCAATTTTAGATTCAACTCAATTGAGAAGAAAGCGAGTAAAAGCGGTGAAACTCGAGCAAGACAGTCAATCGAGAATTATCGACAACGTATCGACTGTCGCATCAACATTCTCTACCGTATGACGTAGATCGCAGAAAAGTTCTACAGGGTCTCTTTAACCCGAGAGTGGGCGCGTATCGGTCATTTCGATCGAAATATATTTAAGCACATATATGTGTAATAATTAAGTAATAATTAATAAATTACTAATCCGATTATTAAAAGAAACATAATAATTGAAGGAAATAATTTTATCATGTCACTATTTTTTCTTTCTCTCATCTTTTTTCTCTTTACTATTTCTGTATCTAATATGTTTAGGAAACATATTAAACTTATTATATATATGTAAGTATATTAAAAATAAAATCATATTTTTATTTTAACTGCATTAGTAAAAAATGACATTTTTTTAGTTTAATAAAATAAAATAAGAATTTCTTGCTTCTCTCGTTTTAGTTTGATTAACTTAAGCATTGATTTAATAAACTTAAAAGTTTATTTGATAAATTTAAAAATAGAGAATAAATTTTGATTTAATGGCAATATTAAAATTATCACATTATATATTGTTTCAATAATTCAAGTATTAATTTTAATAATATCGCTATTGAATCAAGAATATATACTCCAATTACGCGTGCTGTTGAAAATTTTATTGATTCAACAAAAAAAGAGAGGACCGTCCGTCTAACTATGATATCGGAAAGACAATAGACGTTTGACGTACATCGTGCGACGCGACAGAGATAAAAGACAAACGTTAGTAGGCGCGCTATGGTCTTTTAGACTGACTGCTAAAAACGTATCAAATTTTACAAAGAAATAAACGCGTCTACGCCGTCTACTTCTCCATGCTATATGAGAAAACATCAAAGAAAATTTACGTAAAAGCGAAAATACGATAATGTCAATAGATCAGATGATACAAGTAGAAAACGAAAAAGTACGGGGAAATGACCGATACGCGCCCACTCCCGAGCGTGAACTAAGACACATGATATTTTTTTCTCGACGTCTTTTAAGCGTTCTTCAAGCACCTTCAAGATGTCTTTTGAAGGTTCTGCTATCTGAGGACCGTTCGAGTCTTGCTGCCTGTTTTTCAGCTTGCCACAGCCTCAACAAGGACAAGGTCGCGCGATTCCACGTGATACACATATCCTTCGTCGAATCGCCTTGGAAGTTTCCGCGCTGCGCGTAAATTCCCATTGCGCCTCCATCACCGCGCTGTTATCGCAGACGATACTTTCAGTGATGCGAGACAACGAAGGATGTGTATGTACGGTTCGTGCGATACGCAAAACAACGCTGCTGCGGACAATAGCGTGTTATCGTCTGTCTGACTCGGACATGTCGAGTGGCTTCGCTCGCACGCTCGCTCGCTCGCTTGCGCGCGCGCGCGCGCGCGCGTCTCACGCCAGCTGTTGACAGCTGTTGCATGGTACCTTGATCACTTCTAAATACTGGCCGTCCCGGAACATGTTCTCGCGCTCGTTGGGCACGCCGACAGTGTACAGTGGCGACGGTGGCGGCGGTACGGCGCGAGGACGGCGCGTCGCCTCCTTTCTCCCGTTGACCTCGTCCTGTCTCGCGTTGTTGCCTCGTGCGTGTCTCGCCGGACCATCGACAACAGGCGACGTCGAGAAGCGTGGCTGGCGTCGCGCGCGGCCGCGCGTCGCCACTTCGCTTCTCCCGGCGCACGCTCCCCTCGCGGCGCGGTCAGTGCCGCGCGAATGGAACGGCAGACGCGAATTCGTCCGGCCACTCGTGTGCCCGCGAGTGTGTCCCTTTCCCTTCTCACGAGTCGACGGCCGAGAAGCACGGCGTGAGACTCGCTCTCCGCCTCGTGCAGCGGATAATCGGACAGTGGCTCGCTGTGATCTCTGAGCTGGTGATAAGACAAAGCTTACTCGAGAAGCGTGTCGAGTAACGGATACAAACGCAGAGCCGTGTGAAGTGTGCCGAGTGTGCCTTCCCCGCTCGCGAATAGCGACATTTATATAAATAGAAGTGTATGTTTGTGTTTAGCAGTCGAGCTATTCGAACGAGGTTTGATTCTGTCGTCCCTCGCGCCAGTCCGGATCATCTACGACGAGACTGAGCTTCCGGAAACGATTCGTCAGCTGATCGCCGACGTGAGCTCCGTCCGGATGAGAGAGAGTGAGTCGAGACGATTTAAAGGGTCTCCGGCCAAGTATCTCCTGTATTCGTGGACATTTTTGAAGACGCGTCACGTGAATTGCATCATTTCGTGCGCCATCGGCGAGCAAAAGCCTTCGAGTCTCGTTCGTGCAGATCTTTTCTATCGTGCTCTTCTCTTTTTACTTAAAATTCCTCGCTCAACTTCCATCCAAGTAGAACAGAAATATAACGAAAAAAATGATCGAATCGTAATTGAAAAGTGAGTTCTTTAAGTCATTCTGGTATTATTTTGACGTCATCGTAATTTTTTGTTTTGCCTGGCAGCGATACAAGCTATAAACGTCGTGTCCTGTAGGCGTTATTTTGCGGGAACTTGTGTGTGTGTGTGTGTATTTGTATTGTACACACTAGGTCAGTTCGGTATTCCGTAAACAATTACGTAATTGTTACGCCCGCCATTCGTTTCTTCTCAAAATCGCGTTAATTGACCGGGAAATTTGACTAGCTCAATCGGTAAAGCAATTAAAAGCAGTACAATGCGGTCTGCGACCGTTGGTTGTCCGAACTGACAATATTCATTAAAATGATAACCGTGCTAGAATTTGCAAGGAAATGACGTTATGTTTCGTACATTCGTCTCGCGTAAAATGCTTTGCTATAATGAGCGTTGACGACACACAGCAGGATGCGACAGTAACGGCGGGCTAGGCGACGAATATCGAAGACTGACGGTTGGTAGGAAGTACACCTGTCACGAATGAGATAACGTTTGAGAAGACCTGGACAGAAGACGAGTCGAGAGCATGGCACGTGAGGAAGCAACCACGATTCTCGGACGTTTTCAGGTCTTCATGGAAGACGAGATGGGAGCGGGCAAGGTGTGACAAGCTTCCTAACCTCGTCGAACAAATGTCGCTTGCTCACACTAATTGTACTCTTTCTCCAGCTCGTCACCTACGGGATCGCCAGTGCTGGTTTGCTCGTTGCGCTGCACAGAATCAGACCGGTACGTATGAAGGTCGCGAGTCACCTTCCCGTAGCACGCGATACTCACGTTTCCTGTCATCTCGCAGTTCGCGAGATTCAAGAGGCCGTCCGACGTCCCGTCTCATTTCCTGCAAACGCGCGTTCCCCTGCAGGGTACCGTGATGCACGTGGAGCCGAGCGGCGGTGCTCTACTAATGGTCGATCACCAGCCTCTACTGCCCCTTCCTCGATTTAACCAAACGACGTACTTACCCGTCAAGATCGGCGGCGTTAACATCACGGGCAACGGTACGTATCCAGCCGGCTCTCGACTCGTAGTCACTGTCCAAATGCGTGTCGATCTTCTAGGTTTAAGTTGGCTGCAATCTGTACTCAGTGGAAAACTCATCATGTTTATACCTATAGTCAAGAAGAAGGATTGCTTGGAGTGCACAGTTGCAATGCCACAAAAAGATCAAGTAAGTGGGTGTTTCTATCGATGTCGATTAAACCACAATTTGAGTTTAAACTCTACTCAGACAAACTCAAGTTAATTTAATCAACATAAATAGAAACTTACAACAAGAGCACAGTTCCATGACTTACTTCAACCAGAATTTAACTCGTTAGAGGTCTATCCAGGCAAATTTTGCATAATCACTTATTCATATGCACAAGGAAATTGACTAATCTAATATAAAACGATACAAAACATATAAGATGCATCCTTTGCACAGATCGTGGTTGGTTGATTTTCTTATGTGCATGCAATATATGATTGAGCAAGTTTGTCTGAATAGGCCTTTAATGAGTTAAACTCCAGTTGAAGTAAGTTGTGTGAAGTCAGGCCTTATGCTCGATTTTCCCAATGATTAAAGTCCAGTTTCACAACTTACTTCAACCACAATTTAAACTGTTTTCAAAAATTCAAAGTTTAATCGACATTTAAGGACATTGGTGGAGCCTTACTTTCCAAGTGGGTGCTTCACATAACTCAGACGTGCTTATCGTATTGTTCCTGTGAACAGGATCCATTAAAAATTGGCGAGGAGTTGGTGAGATTAGGTTTAGGTACAGTACACGAAACTGAGGTAAAGCTGACGGATAAGCATGCCTTAGCGTACAGAAGATCTCTAGCAAATGCGCAAAAATGGGCGATACGCAGAAGAAATGGACATTGGCATTTCGTTAGACAGCCTACTGTTTTCTGGAAAACGCAGATGTTCATGATAGATAAGATGAAGTCACTGTTACCTACTTATATAGTGAGACAACTTGATCTTTAAAAAAGTATTTGCCTTGCTTTAACATTAAATTTACAGATTATTGTTCCTTAATTGTAAAGTATATTTTTTGATAGTTTGCATTCTACAAGAATGTACTTAAAGTTTTTTCAATAAAAATGATTTTAATAAACTTTGTTACGTGTTACTGACTTGTAATACCTTTCACGATGTGATGGGATATCGCACATCCTTAGCGCTTGCCCATTTCTTACATATGTCTCATTGAGAAGAGATGTTAATCTCTAAACACACTTCAGTTCAAAGTTCATGAATCATAAAATATAAAAATAATTTTAAACACTTCCATTCTTAAATACTTTTGGTACTTTAGTTTATTTCATCGCAGTGACGCATAGTAGATTTATTTGGTTGTACGATACGTGTAAAAAATCCGAGTATTTAAAAGCCTTGTTTTATTTTTATATTTGTTAAACTGTACAACTTCTTATGGATTACTTTACAGTTCAATATAACAAAATTATTGAGTTATAATTTTGGCGCATATGTGTCACTCAGCTTCAACAGAATCGAGTTCTCTGTTTTACTTACATTGTGTAATGCTGTAACTTGTTCACAAGTTATGTTCTTTCTCTCACCCAACGTACCCACACTTACAGATACGACTTATTTGGTAGATATTCCCTATACCACAATAAAACAGAGTCGTAATTATAAAAATAGAAATAGATAAACTTAACGAAAGATCGCCTATTGTACATAATGAGATACAAGACAACCTTATAGTCGCACATAGAACCATTAGTTATACAGTCAATTACAATGTATCGCTGATTGTTGCTGTTAAATATTAGTTTTTCAATTAATTATTGTAATTATTTAATAATCATTCTGTGCATTCACTCTTGAAACTAAAATAGAGTGCAAAGGCAGAATGTCAATAACTACACTAACGAAGGCAATAAGAAATGTTAAAAAAAAATCATTAGTCTTATTTATTGCTCAAATGAGCTTTTTAATCTTTTTGCAAACGTATAAAAGTAGAATATATAAATATAAAAATTATATGTAGCGCATATACTAAAACAACAGAATCATACGTACATATATATATATGTGTGTATTGTGTGGATAGTAAAATTTGCAAAAACAACAAGATTTCCAACCTTATATATATGTATATATACACACACGCATCACAGACACTAACATTCTCTCTAAATCTATCGTTAATAAGTCAGTGTAATAAAGCTAACAGGCAATGTTCTATATTGCATGCATATATATTGCATGCATTCAGTACTATAACTGTGCATTGAGCGGTTAGTGAGCTTTTGAATAACCGGTACATACTTTTAGATTTGGCCAAGGTTAAAAGTACAAACCAATCAAATTCACAAGTTTACTGAGCGCTTATTGAAGAGTGTTAGTACTTAGTTAGCTTGGTTAACATTGAATGCGTTGTCCATTGTTGCGTTGGCTTTTGTTCCATTCTGGAATGTATATACATAATAGTTTGTTGTATTTGACTCCGTTTCTGAGCAAATATACACGAAACGAATCTATAATTGCATTCAGCAGAAAAAATTGCATTGGAGTTGTAAAATTCGCGATTGATGTGCGTTTCTAGATTCAGTCAAGATTAAGACTTTCATTCTAAATTCTCTTTTATGGACAAAAGTGTTTTTAAAAGTGTTTTTAAAAGTTCTTCTAATTGGTTATTTTCAGGCTACTTTTAAAGACGCTTTTAGCAATAAAAGACAATTCAGAATACGGATCTTAGAGCATACATCAAATTTACGAATTTCACAACAGCAGCTTTCTTTGCTGAATGTAGTCTATCTTTCGCGAAAAACTGACAATCCTATATAACCTTGGATCAATTTTTCATGAAAATAGTATTTTCGAATTGCTAGTAGTATATCGCTTAATAATATTATACTATATGTATGTGTGTGTGTATATGTGTGTCGCTATTTGCTCCTTATTAGGAGGAAGAATTTGTCTTTTTGTTTCTTATCGGAATTTCTTCTCTTTTATTTCTTGTTAGAATCTTGGACGGTTTGGTTACTATCTATTTCACTTTCTCGGATTCGCTTTCTGTGCCTTCGCGGAAGCATCTTGTTCCACTTTCACATTTTTGTCAGACTTTGTACTAGTCTTCGCAGTATTCTCTCGCGTTTTATCGTTCGTTTTGGGCTTCTCATTTGGTACGTTTGACTTTGTATCTGTTTTTACGTTGTCTTTGGCATTCTCGGGTTTCGAGGCTCGTTTAGTTTCCGACGATTTAACTTTACTTTCCGCGGTAGTAGGTTTCTCGGCTTTAGGAACTGCTTTTGGTGCGGCGGTCGGCTTGGGCGTGGTCGTAGGAGCCGCGGTTGGTTTAGGTGTTTTAGGAGCAGCGGTCGGCTTAGGCGTTGTAGTTGTAGAGGCAGGAGTTGGCTTGGGTGTGGCTGGAGCGACAGTTGGCTTTGGCGATGTAGTTTTCTTCGGTGTTGGTTTCGACTCGACCGGCTGTGCTGTTGTTGCGGAATCCGCGTCCCGTTTCACTCTTTGCGCCTTCGCATCTGAAGCAGCGGCTTTCGAAGGCTGTTTCTCGCTCTTGGCGCGAGAAGACATCTTTTCACCGTTGACTGCAAGGTCGGGGAAAGCCTGCTTCAGTGGTACTCTCAAGACATTATTATTCCATGGACTACCGAGCCATAGATAGCCGTTGTGTATATAAGCCGAACTGATACTATTAATCGTATCTGTGTCGTCGGAGGAAAGAATTTCTAAGATGTTACCAGAAGCATCTACTCTAAACACCATAGATTTTGTCATGCTGTCGAAAAATCCTAACATTTGGAACGACCCGATCCAGTACATGATTTTCTCTGCATAGACATTAGGATAATAACGATGAATCAATTCAAATGGCATTTCTATCAAGAAGAGCAAACGCGAAAGCATCTTTCTAATGTTCGGATGCGGCATGAGACTATGCGTCAACAAAGGATGCTCAGGGCTGGTACCCATGACCGTCGTGAAGAGAAAACCACCGTGACCGTCACTATGAATATTGTCTGGAAGACCTAATAAAGCCTCGACAAAGATCTCATGTTGCCCGGCCTTTGGTCCTTTTAAGTGATATTTCAGGATTCGACATTTCGCCGATTCCGCTACAATCACGAAACTTTCGTCGTCGCTCAGTTTAACACCGTTTGCGAATCCGAGATCTCGCAACAGCACTTCATTTTTCTTCTCAGCCGCATTGAAACGCATAAGCCTACAAATTCGAGATAAAAAATAGTTAACATTTACACGTGTGTGTATATACGTATGTATATACGCGCGCGCAAAGGTATTCCTAAGAATCATTTTGATGTTTTTATTACCTTCCTGCTGGGTTACCTAGTAACGTGTGCAATCCCTCATAAAGAGGGAATTCTGCACTGCTATCGGTCCAATAAAGATCTCCATTTTCTGCAACGTCTATGCTGTTGGGAAGTTGTGGTCTTTTGCCATCAATTGGCTTAGTGATATTTATTATGTTTTTGTACTCCTTAGTTGCCATATTTACTTTGTACACTCCATAATAAGTATCTACTATGTATAAGTTGCCTTTCTTATCAAACTTGAATCCCAATGGCCTGCCGCATATGTGTTCTTGCCAAATACCATCTGCAAATTTTGCAAACAAATGTACTATTAACTGTTGCTTTAATATGATTAATTATATATGCTGCTTACAACACAATTACTAGTATATGTTAAAATATATTAGTTATATAGAGCATTCTACAAACCCACATAATTCTAAATCCAAGTGTCTTACATAATATATTGTTTTTCCTCTTACTTTGGTGTAAAAAACGTAATAAAATAAACGTAGTATTGTAAAAAATTTATTTACAATGCAAGAGCACCTTGTTAAATTGCTTCCCTGAATATATGTGTTTAAAATACGCAAGAAATTATCTTACATAGGATAATGAAATTCTTTCATTGCATTCATAATTAATCAGTTGCACATATACTGTATTGTTAATTTTATGCTAATATAATGATAAGCAATATGTATATAAATGATATTAAAATGTACATCTCATACTGACATAATGACAAGCAATATGCATATAAGTGGTATAAAGTATATATTACAACTACGCAGAATGTTAAAGTATAGCTTGACTGAATGCAATTTATCAATTACCAATCAATGTCAAATAAAATTCATCAGTGTCGATTTAATTCGTTGACATTTAAAATATCGTGTTCTCACGAATATAAAAAAAAATTGGGTAAATATGCAGTGTAACGCTCTCATCTTGAATTTTTTACAAATTTTGTAAATTTGTATATTTTAACATATAGAATTGATTTATGAAAGCGAAAATTGCCGCTCATTTTTCGTTTCCTTGTTTTTTTATTTTAATGTTTTATGATGTCGGTAAGTAGGAAAGTGATAACTTTCCTTATAAAACTTTCTAATTCTATGTCAATATATCTAATTATTTAAGTTTTATAAAATAATATATATGATTAAAGCAGAGAAAAGCATGAACTATTCTGTTCTTTATAACAGAGTTTATGCTTTTCATTAAACCCAGACAAAACCAGATATCTGGAAGATATCCTAAGGATGTTCTCAAGATGAAGGAACATTCTAAGAATATTTTTAGGATATCCTGTGAAGATTTGTACTGTTTGGATTTAATCAAAAGCATAAAAGCTGTTATAAAGCAAAAAATATTTCATGCATGCTTTTCTCTGTTTTAATCATATATACTATTTTATAAAATTTAAATAATTAGACACACCGACAAAGTTAGAAAGTTTTATAATGAAAGTTATCACTTTCCTATTCTCTTACTGACATCATAAAACATTAAAATAAAAGAAACAAGAAAACAAAAAATGAGTGACAATTCCCACACAGCAAGAATGTCCCAAATACATCATAATGATTTCTTGAAAATATCGCATATTCAAAATATATCTTTAGGATATTCCTATGATACATTTTAGATACCTTTGCTGTGTAGGTTTTCTTTTTCAAAAATCAATTCTACGTGTTAAAATATACAATTTACAAAGTTTAAAAAAATCCAAGATGAGAGCTTTATACTGCATATTTACGAAAAATTGAGAAAACAATAATGACAAAAAATAAAAATTAAAGAAATTTAAGAGGTAAAAGATGTTGATATATTCAACTCACCGCATTGCTTGCCGACCTTCACGATCGGCACAACGCGATCTTCCTCCAATCTAACGATATAACCGCCATGAACTCCGCTGTAAAGTTTGCCATCATAGGAATCAAAAGATTCCGCACCTTGGACCTCGTCAACGTACAACCGTTCGGCGCCACGTAGCCGGTTCTTCGGACCTATCTTAGGATCGACATTGCGCGGCAGCACTATACTGAAATCGACATACAAAGGTCAGTCGGAAAGTTGATAACGCGGTACAAGATTTAAGAGTCATTAATATATCGCTCGATTTACGTAACAAAAAGGTCATACTTATTTAGACACATGCATCTTCAAGGAAACGACAATACGAAACGCATTTTCTCTTACAACGAACAAGTTACGTGACAGATGTTTACGGGCCGTGTTTGCTTTGCCCCTTTTTTAATTATGCACAGCATCTTGGACGTGTCACGGAGACGGAACACCTTGGAACTAGTACCTGTATTCGTGGAACTCCACATACGGCGGCAGGCCCGGCAGGAACGTCACCAAGGCCAAGAACAGACCTACGTAGATGATGAAACTGCCGGTCGACTTTAGATAACCCATCCTTACTGCGACAACGACAGTTGTCGATCGCGACGCCTGTTGGTTACCGTCCTCTCCTCTATCCTGCGATGGAATAACCACTGTCGCGCGAGCACACCACAATTGTACTGCACTTTCAGCTTTATAATAATCCCCTCTCTTTTTGTCGCTATTACGCTGTTACTGGACGTCAGCAAAAACAACAAGTGTGCCTACGAGTTCCTTGCGTTAATCACTCGCGCGATCGATCGACGGCGATTATTCGAAATATCGAATCGGCGCGGGACGTACGAACGGACGGTAATTCACGGCGGAATCCAGATGCGCAGGAAGATGCAGTTAGCAACAATGATGATCTAACTGTTTCTACGGCACGCACGGATAACGGCACCCGTGCACCTAATGGCCGTACTATCCGCTCGCGCGTTAGGTCACGGTGTCCTAGCAAGTGTGTCGTCGTCACGACGTCAAATGTATGCCACGCGGCAGAAAAAAAGAAAAAAAAAAAGAAAATCATCGGTTCCCGTCGCGACGATCCTTGCTGAACGGCATTAATTAGATCGCAATCGGGCAGTTCTGGCAGATAACGCGCATCATTGCACATTCACATGCGTTCGTCAGCTAATTATATCTTGATAAAAAACACATATGCAGTCGGCTGATCAATGTCGATTAAGGTTCAAAAGTCAAGGTCAATTTAAGGTCAAGTGAACTACCTTGCCACGTTTTACTCAGCAATATTACTCAAAGCACAAAATGTCAGTTTTCTGTCCTACAATTGATCATTACACGAAAACGGTATAGTGAATATCCTTTCTTCTATGCTGTGTTCTCTAATATGTAACATTGTTGTTGTTGGTACTTGGTCGTGGAACCTTCCCAAACAGCACAGGATCTCCTGAGGACGTCCTAAGAACATCCTGAGGATGAACAAATGTTCTCAGGATGTACTCTGGATGTCCCCTGGACATCTGTGCTGTTAGGGTTAATACGTAACATTTAAATGTTATAAATTTTTAACAGAAAGTATTTTATTTATATAGTATCACTTTTTACGAAATTTTTTACACGAGAATAATGATCATCCATATTACTTCTATAAAGTTTTATACAAAATTGCAAAATATATAAAAAATTATATACACAAAATTGCAATATTCATGATTAAATTTCTTACAAACGATACAGACAAATCTTATGAAACTTTAAATACGAATATGTCTTACTAATAATAAATGTTATGTTAAATTTTTGTATAATCTTAAGTATTCTTCGATAAGTGAATAAACTCCTTAAGGGTCAATCGACATTGATAGAAACGAACGTAAGTGTAGGAACACATTTCCTCGATAAGTTTACAACATGTATTCTCACGTATTCAATAGGAAAATATATCTCCTGAGATTTGCTAAAACGCAAATTCTTCTGTTAGATACAGAATGTGTTACATAATATGAAATTGACCAATTTCCCATAATCGAAAAGTGCATCTGTGCGACTTGTCAACGAGTTGTACTACGCGCTCGATTTTTCATCAAGGAAAGTGGCGATTCGTAGTGAAAATTTGGAAATTATTTACAGCCGTACGTCACTGGTCCAGACAGTCAGCTGTTATTGTGAAGTATAGTTCCGAAGTCTCCGCTACGAGTCGCCACTTTGACGGAAAATCGAGCGCGTAGTACAACTCAATAAGAAGTCAAACGTGCTTATTTTTCTAGTAGTATGACTCAATGGATGCGTTCGGGGAGCACGCTACTAATGCTACGCTACCGCGTTCTTCTATCTTTATTGCTCCTTAGATATACAACAAGGATAGAATGATACGGTAGCGCTAATAGCGAGCTCCCGAACGCACCTAATGCCAAATTAGACACTCTTTTACTGTATCATGACATATAGGAAAAATTCGACAGGCTGTAACTTCGGCAAAAATAATAATAACAAGATAGTTCCAGAAGTATATAAAACCTTGAAGTTTCTATTTTTTAATATTAAGATTGTAATGTTTTTTGTGTAACTATATTGAAAAATGGCGGCTGTTCAAATTTTAATCTCATTTTTCAATTGAGTTTATCAATAAAAAATTTAGTTATATCGAAAATATAATAAATACATTTTAAAGAAGGAATTTTCAGCTTCCTATCTATCAGTTAATAAACGTCACACTTCTTTCTTCTGTGAATGATTAAAACCAAAAAAATGCTTTTTGTTTCAATGTTAAATAATTCGGTGAAAAAAAATCGCATAGCAATATATAAATTAAAGTATATTTATGAATTTCGAATTAAATCGTTGTTGACAGTTCCTGACTGATCCTTGAGACTCGCGATAATGCAGAGAGTGCAGTAAACGGTTGCACTAAGTGCTGTACGAGCCTGTTTGATAGGTACAACTTAACATAAAATTTTGACGTAAGGTTGTCGGCCGTAGCTACGAAATGGTGCAAGAGGTGAGGAAAACGAAAAGGAAGAATGCACAAAAAAGTACAAACGCGTCACAGAAGGAACAAACACTCGTGAAAGAAGAAGGAAAGGGAGGCACACAGAAGGAAGATGTAAACCAGAAGGAGGATAATAATGTAGAAAAGTCGCACAAGGCCGTTGTGTCGTGAGTAAAAAAACCTGAAATTATCATATTGTCTTTTTTTAAAGTATCTTTTATTATATTTAATATTATATCTATATTTACGTACGTAATGTCCTTGGCAAGACAATTTCTATAAGATATTTTGAAATTGTCTTAAAAATTTGTGTTTGGAGTTAATCAATGATGCAGTACCCAATGATCTAATTTGCTTTTGTTTTCCTAGAAAATATGGGCCTGCTGTGTCGTTTCCATACCAAAGGGTATGGTCTAGATGTGTCATGATACTCGGGGTGTTGTTGATAGTTTGGTATAATAGTAAGCAAGGCAAGGAAGTATCTTTAGCAAAGCAGAAAGACGTGCTGGTAAGTCGTTCCCAGAGTTTTGACTGTTCTGCAGATTATAGAGCTGAGTTAGAAACGTATCCTGGCTGTGTACCAGAAAAATGTGGCAGGATTGTCACAGACAAGTTGGTGTCAGCAACAGAAGTTGATGTTTTGTTGAAATTAGCTAAAAATGGATTAGATCTAGCTGACTCAGATGGTAGCGCTAGTATACTGGATCTTCACTCTGGAGCTCTTAGCAAAGGTCAAGGATTTATGAATATCTACAAACTGCCAGCAACCAAGAAGATATTCAACAATGTGGATCTAGCAATATATAGGTGCCAATTTGTCATTATTTGTTTAGAGGAAAAAAATATTTAGCAAAGGAATATATACTATATTTATCTTACAGGGTAGTAAAAACAAAAATACAGCACGCAGTAGCGCACAACTTTGGCGTGAATGTAAATAAGATATATTTAACCAAGCCAACTTTCTTTTCACGGATAACTAATAAGCCTGCAAAGACCATACATGATGAATATTGGCATCCACATGTCGACAAGGTCTGTCTTGTTTTAAGGCACACTCTATCCCAATAAATACCAACTTGGTGTTTACTGGGGTAATATATGTATCAATTTTCACGACTTAAACAGTTCCATTCTTTACTGTTCATTCACTGGGATATTTTGTCGTACTTCAGAAATGTTTAGGAAGAAGCTAAAAATGCATCTGTAAGTTATATATAAGATTACACTTTTCAGGACACGTATGAATCGTTTCATTATACGTCATTGGTATATTTGAGCGACTATAATAAAGATTTCGAAGGCGGTCGATTCATATTTCTGGATAAGAATAACGTCAATTCGACGATAGAACCCAGGAAAGGTAAGCATGTATGCAATCATAAATGGAATAAAGGTTTGATGTCGAGATGATCATAACGAAATGCTATATTTCCAGGCAGAGTGTCGATCTTTACATCGGGAGGCGAAAATTTGCATTTCGTCGAGAAAGTGAAGTCCGGTACTCGCTACGCCTTGACCGTGTCTTTCACGTGCGATAAGAACTCTGCGATATCCGACTCGCATTTATCGAAAAGTTGAATGTCTTTCGACATCTGTTCATCCGTGTTATTTATATCGCGTCAATACCATAGAGTACAAACCTTTTCGTTCATGCGTTGATCTGCACAAATATAATTGCTTATTTATTGTCCTAAGTAAACGGCATTTTTATTTGTAAAATTCTCACATTTACAACCAAACAGTATTTCGACAGTATTAAGGAATCTACCAAGAATAAAGCGAGTATTTGTACGTGTAATTCGTTTTTAGAAGTACCCACCAAATTATTATAGACGATGTAGTTATTGAATTAAAAAGCGCAAGTATATTGATTAAATATTACATCAACTGTATAATGTGCTTTTTTTGGACACTTGTAAGTTGATTATTTTTTTTCACATATAATACGATACGTAAGCGGAGGATAACAGATAATACACGTATTTAATGTTCTTTTCTTTGAATAGAAAATGCAACATTCTCGCTGATGTTTGCAGAGGCATCTCCTTTCTCCTGCGTCATTGTGTCGAGAATATGTAGTTAACAGAATGTGAAATATATAGGATTATTATACATCTTACGACTAATTTCACAACACGAGATAACGTTTTAATAATATTTAGGAACGATGTGTGTGTGTGTGTGTGTGTGTGAGAGAGATAAAGAGAGAGAGAGGAGAGGAGAGAGAAATATATAGTTCGTCGCTGATTGATAGTTGCGTCGATATATTTGCGCTTTGGTCTATTTCGTCGTTGCTTTATTTACAATTCCATCGTACGACGAAAAAGAGTGAGAGCTTTCTCTCAGACGGTTGAAGAGAAATAAGAAAGAGAACGATATTAGTCCGCGTAAAACTAAGGTGTTGATTTATTACTAAATGGAACAAAGACACGACAGATTTCTCAGTTATCAGGATAATTTAAATAAATAGATATAAACGAAAACTTAACGACAGAGATTCAACTCTGCCATACTGGAATCACCGTGAAGACACAATATATAATCTTAAGACAAGATCTTCAAGTAACCCATAAACTTATAAGCTACAATAACGTATAAAATAATGTATAACTTGTATTAATGGTAACATAAAAATACTATCGAGAAAAGCTATACATTCTCTTATCATTTTACGTGTTTTCCATTTTTGTACGATCTGGTTTTGCTCGCGGAATACAGGAAGAAGGTGATACTGGAGTACGAAAGGAATATACAGAGAAGGTCTCTCTCTACGCAAGTAGAAAGTCAATCACTAAATTTTACTTCGATATCACGCGCATCTCTACGCGTAGAACATCCCCGATGATGAAAATTTCATGTGAGCTCTGCAACAACGGAACGTTGCTCGAACTACGCTTGCAGAATGTTTGCGATCTTCTTCGCGCTCTCTCCCAACAGTATCGTCCTGTGATTACCGCGCACTTCTTCTATTCGTATGGGTTGCGTGCAAGACTGAAAAAGAAAGAAGAAGAGATGAATATTCAAGGAGCAAAGTAGCGTGAAAGCTACAAGTGGCAAGTAGCATGAAAGTAGCAAAAGTAATTTTGATATATTGACATTTGTTCTTAGATTCAGTCAAGATTAAGAGCATACACCAATCAGATTCACAAATTCACAAATTTTATAACGGTTGTAATTTTTTGAAAATTCACTTGACGTGTTAATAAGAGAAAAGGAAAAATTGTAAAAATTGAATACAAAATCTCACCTTGGACAGACCGTAATCTTCTTCCAGAGACATAAAGTTATCCGTGGCCTTGATCAATGTGATTGGTCCGTTGAATTTCTTGCCAGGGTTATAGATCGTACCAGCCGCCAATTTCTTGAACAAATTATATCCGGCGATCTTCAAATCATCGCTCGAGAACTGCGTGTCGCCGATGATCTCTACCATTTTATTAAACATGTCCACGTCCGTATTCGTCGTCTTCAGGATTTTGTATGCCTAAAATAAGACCAAACACGGTTAGCAAGACAAACATCTCCGTTTGGCGGAGATCTCACATCTACGATAAGAGATTGTGTATCTCTCGATTCGGATCAATTTCTCTCTCTCTCTCTTTCTTTCTTTTTCTCATCGAGTAATTCAGGATACACTGAGAAAATATATCTAGCATTTGTGATTAAATTGCACAGTGCAATAATTATAATCAAATTTAATAGAAATATAAGCATATTTATGAAATCACTTTTTTTTCTTTCAGCGTGATCTTTAAGGAAAGCAGGAACACTGGCGCGATCGAGATGCTCACCTGATTGAAAGTAACGTTCTTGTTCAATTGTATGCTGAAGTATGCCAACGCCTTCATACAGCTGTCCGAGGTAAAGTCGTCGTTCATATCTATCTTGCCGATCACTTCCACATGTTGTTGGACATACATCGGTGAGCCATCGATCAGCGTCAATGCAACCTTCTCGCCGGCGGACTCTAGTTGCAGGGCCATCTCGAGGGCGATACACGTGCCGAACGAGTACCCGGCCAGGTTGTACGGTCCCTTCTGCTGAACTTTCTTGATATTGTCTATGTAAAATTCGGCCAGCTCTGGTACCGTGTCGTGAGGCGCTGATTCGATGCTCTGCAGACCCCACAACGGTCTATCCAGCTCTTTGGCCATGTGCTTGAATGAATTTGTGAGACCTTCGATCGCGTGAACAATGAATAACGCCGGTCCTTTCGAGCTCCTAGTCTTCAGGCGCACCAAGGCTTCCTTGGGCAACAGTTCATCGCTCGGCCATTGCATCAGTAACATGTCGTTAGCAGAATCGGCAAGAGACGCGCTCGAGTTCGGATTCGCAGCGACGGAAGATTCCTTGGCAACGGCTTCGGTATTTCCCGAGGACATTTCTCGCAGCTTGGTGATCGTCAGGGCGCGAATATCCTGTGTCGACATTATGATGTCGCAATTCCTCTCCAAGACTTGTTTGATCTCAGTGGCCATCAGCGAATCCATGCCCACATCAGCCAGACTAGTGCTAGAATTCACCGAGTTCACGTCTTTGATGCCGAGAATATTGATTACCGTTTCTAAGAGACCGATCTTGCTGTCGCCGTCCGCGGGTTTGTGCTTCTCGGCTACCACCATGGAGGACACCACCGGATATTGTTCCTGCAGGAAGATGTCTAAGGTCGCAAGGCAGCTCGATATAAGTTGGGGCACTGTGCCGCCTATCACAACGTCGTTACCACCCATCATTTCTGGAAAAATAAGCGATATCAGAAACAGCATCAAACAGCATATCGTGAGAACGGATCACGAATAGAATGTAGTCCATATTCGATTAGTTTACTAGATTACTTTTTAAAAGCATGTAAGTCGCGTTATCATTCAAAAAGTAAAAACTTCCCAGATAACATGCATGTCTAAAAGATGTCGAAAGATATCTAAAAGACGTTTTATGCAACAAAATGTTGCATATTTGAGATATCTTTAGCTTTAGATATCTTTTCGACATCTTTTAGACATGCATGTTATCTGAGTTGTTGTTCTGTTATACTAATTTTGTAAAATAACTTCTTATCGTTATCATTGCTTAAATCAAATCGTTGCAGTATTACTTTTCTATATCTGTATTACTTTTATAGTACATAATTTAGGAGAATTAGATCTAAATTAGATAAAATTGGAAGTTATAAAAACTAGTCATCAAGTTGGAAATTTTAAGATCTTCGAAATGGGAAATTCTACTTGTTCGATATAAGAATAAATTAAATTGAATGTCCAATTAAATCTTGTGTATTTACCGACGATTAGGCCGACCTCTCCGACCGCGCCCCACTGGATCGCAGTGCCTTTGAAGCCGTTCCTCTGTCTATCCTCCATCATTCTCTCCATAGCTGAATTCGCGAAACCGTAATTAGTTTGGCCTATATTGCCGCGGCCACAGGATACAGAGGAGAACACGACGAAATAATCCAACGGCACGTGGGCTTTCCTCGATACCGTATCCAGACATCTCGTGCCGTCAATCTTCGGTGACATCACTGTCTTGAAATCGACTTCTTCCAAGTTCTCGATCAAAGCGTCGCGCAACACGGCCGCCAAGTTAAATACGCCGCCCACTGGTGCGAGTTTGTTGCTCTCGGTGAACAGACGTTTAGCGCCCGACAACGTCGTGACGTCTGCTGTAGAGATGGCGACTTTGACGCCATTCTCGCGCCAGCGTCGTACACACAGCGACTGATAACCCGTGCGTATGCCAGAACGCGACACAAGAACGATGAATTTAGCGCCGCGTGCGATCAGCCAGTTCGTTAGTTCCAGGCCGAAGCCGCCAAGACCACCGACTAGTATGTACGACTTCTTCGGGTTCATGTAAGTACGCGGTATGACGGGAATGATCTTCGGCATCGGCTGCACGCGCTTCTTCGGCTCCTCGGCGCGTATCTTCAGCAGCACCTTGCCGATATGTTTGCCTGACGCCATGTATCTGAATCCCTCCTCGAGCTGCTGCTCTGAGAATACAGTCGTAGGTAAAGGTCTCACCGCGCCGTTCGCGATCCCTTCCGAGACGAGCTTCACTACTTGCTTCTTCTCCGCGCATTCGTCGAACAGCATATCCAGCAATATACCGTGGAAGGACGTGTTCTTCAGGAACATCGACATTCCTATGCGACTGTCATTGGACATATCGTACTTGCCGATCTCCAGGAAACGACCGTTCGTTGCGAGACACCGTATGCTAGCCTGCAATTTCTCCTCCGCCAACGAATTTAGCACCACGTCGACCCCACGTCCCTGTGTCTCCGTAAGGATCATCTGCTCAAAACTGGTGTCGCGGGAATTGCCAATATGCTCGTCATTTAGTTGTGGGAAGGTCTCCTTTAGGTATTGCCTCTTCTGCAACGTGCCGACGGTGGTGAAGACGGTGCAACCGGCGTGCAAGGCGATAGCGATCGCCGCTTGGCCGACGCCGCCGGTTCCAGCGTGAATCAATACACTCTCGCCCGGTTTCAGCTGACCACGCAAGAACAGAGCGTAGTAGCTGGTCGAGTAAGCAACCGGTATCGTCGCCGCTTGCTCCAGCGTCCACTTGTCAGGCACCTCCCAGAGAAAACCGGGATCAGCCAACAAGGTAGTCGCCAAACTGCGAGCCTCGACCATTCCCATCACTCTGCGGCCGTCCTCAGTTCTTCCGGCAAATTCCAGTCCTAATATACAGTCTTCCATAGCTATTTTTCCCGGCAAGGCGTCTGGCGGCAGTTTTCCAGTCGCCAGCATGATATCTCTGTAATACACGTAAAATTTATTCACATTTGCCGTGCCATCTCTTCTATTCGATTGGGAGAGATCAGCCAAAATTCGCTCGCTCATGTCTTACCTGAAATTCAACGGCGCGTAATATACACTACATAACAATTTGTCGAGTTGTTGTTGCTGACTCAATGAACTTTCGATCCATCTTAAGCTGCTCAAGTCACCCCTGACCAGCGTGTTCACGTAGGCGTCCTTGCTTTGCGCGTGCGGTATGTTGTTCTGTCGATTTATTCGTAGATGCCGATAGCTGCCCCACACTCCTCTATTCAGTACGTTTGCTACCAGTCCTTTGTTCAGCTGGCTCATGTAAAACTCCACATTCAAGCCGAACTTGGGGGCATTTTTGTCCTGGATGAACACGTAGCGCGCGTTTTCACCGCCGCTCTCATACCGGATGCATGTCATAAGTCCGACCAAACCTGCGAACGAGAAGATGCATTTTCAACATGTCTTCGCGGTCTGTGCTGATCCACGCGTCGACCAAATCAGAAGTCTGCTTCTATTAGATAGGTGCAAAAGATTTGTCATTTTCTTATTAATTTCTTATAAAAAGTTTAGGTATTAGAAATAAAAAATAAGAAGTCCCTATTGTCTAAAAAGATATGGAGTTAGTGTTGTTTAGTCATTCTGAAACATTTCTTCATTCTTTAAGCTCTTTATTTTTATCTAAAAATAATTAAATTAATTAAATAATTTGAAAATTCCATTTTTTATCAACCACGATAAACCTTTTGCATCAACCTGATATGAATCATCTCAAGCTTTGCGGTAACATTCCCACATGAATGGATCTAAAAGAAGCTTACGCGAGTTGTTTGCGCATCATTTTCGTCATCTTACCGAGCAACTCCTCGTCCTGAGACACCAGGAACACTTCTTGATTTTCCTCGGAGGACTTCTTCAGCGCCACTTTCAAATTCTCCAGCCACGAGAGATTTCGCTCCGTGATCTGCACGACGATCGGTTTTTCTGGTTTCTGTAACTGTTTCTTCAGCAACACGTAAGTATTTCCTGATGAATTAACTTGTGTGGCGGCCAACACCAGATCCATTTCCTTCAGCGCGGGCTTCAAGTCGACTTGAGTGAAACGAGTTCCGGTCTCCTCTAGAAGAATGAAACCTCTGGGCTCCAAGGCAGCTGCCAGGTTCTTCAGAACGGCATACGACGGATCGGACAATACGTCCGCCCCTATAACGAGATGAACATTTTGGGCGGGTGGTGTGTTCTTCACGTCTCGCATCACAACCTCAACGTTCACCTTCATTTCATCCAGACTCGCCGTATAGTTATCTGGTGAAACGGCGGCTATCTGTAAATGTACATCCTAGAACAAAAAAAAAAAACAATTCTCTTATAAAAACGCTCGAGTAAATATGTCGTTGTGACTCTTGGTGGTTTACATAAAAGCGATAAACATCAGTGTCGCGATAATTGCAGGTATCAGCGAAAAAGCGATAAAAACCAAGTAATTAGAGATAAGGAACTCCTGATTGCGTCTCATGTTTGAATTTCTTTACGACTTTACTTTGCGCATATTCAGGATCTATTTAAAATACAATCTCTGAAAGACTTACAATGTGTTATTCACTAAAGTGTCGTACTCACGTTAATTGAAGTTTCGCTGTAGAGTACATCAAGCAAGAGGGGTGTTAATAGATCTTCCGCAGCTCGTTCGCCCGCGACTTCTACCACTTTGATCTTGTGCGCTGTTATGTTCTCGCTAACGATTTGCAATAGCACACTTAGCGCGTGCAGTTTTCCCTTCGGATCCTTTTCGGAAAAGTTGGACGGATTTTCATACGGTAGAAACGTGTATCGCTGGAGCAGGGGGCTAGCTTGGGTCTGCTGCCGACGCGGCGCCAAGGACGACTTTGCTCCTCTGAATTCGATACCACCCGACTTTATGACATTGATGTCTTTGTAATGATACACTGGCAAACCGGCATCTTGCGGTAACTTCTTGACTAATTGTTTATGACCAATGGGATCGATCGCGACGTACTGGAAACGCGACGGCAAGTACATCAACTTGTAGCTGGTAGACAGTATGCTGAACTGAAGTATGCTGTCCATGTAAGAGATCCATTCGTTGGCCCAGCGAATCTCGCCGACGTTGCCGTAGTTGTCGCTACTCTTGATCCCTTGAAAGATATCGCGATACTCGTATCCGCGCAGCCTCAGTTCTTTGTAAATATCCTTGCTGTCCAACGGCAGGGTCTCTTCGGAGAGCGCGGCTTGTCCACTGAGAGGTGGCAAATTCAACTGATCCTTCTTGATATCGCTGGACGCGCGAATTTTCCCGCTGACGGCGACTGTGCCAGTTTCACAAATCTCGAAGTCACCTGTGCCATCGAAAATATTTACCGCGAACTTCACCGGACCCTCTTTCGGCATGATGGTGGCGCGTTGGAAGTGTATGTTCTCGAACACTACCGGCAGCTGCTCGAAATCGGCTCCGCGCAGTTTCGCGAACGTTTTCCACACGAGCAGCATGTAACCAGTAGCTGGGAAGAGGACTCGTCCGTCTATCTGATGTCCCGATATATACGCGTCCTTCTCGTTAGATAGATCTACCTGGATGACGGTCTGTCCTGATTTATTCGACATATCCTTGTAGTTTGCCACTTCCCACGTAATGGAGTGATCCCACTTGATCAGAGGGCTGATCATAGGAGTCCCGCGACCAACGGGAAAGCTCACCGGAGGGTACAGTTTAGCGATGTCTGGCTGCGCACTGGCCATGTACAGTTTACCCACGTTGGACAACAGGAACGTCAGGTTGTTCGGGTGATCGCGTTTGTGTAGACCGATGTTGGTTACTGTCTGCGGCAACGATCTGCGTAGAATCGCTTGCAGCAAGCAATGCGGCGCAATCTCGATCGTAATCGCGTTCGCCGGAATGTGCGCGATCGCCTCTTGGAAGAGAACAGGCGACAGCAGATTGTTCACGTGATACGCGGACGAGTTGAACTGCGCGAGCGGACTGCCCCAAGCGGACTCGGGTATTGAGCTGGAGATCCATTTGGCCGACCTTCGCTTTGGGTTCGGTATGATCTCGTCGAGCGAGGCGCGCAGCTTTGGTCCCGCTAACGAGATATATTTACTGTGGAAGGCGAAGCCGGAGCTATTGACCATCTTGACGAAGATGTTTTTATTCTTTAGCTCCTCTATGAACGCCACTATCGACTCGACCGGACCAGAAACAGTGACTGAGTCCGCGGCATTGTGGCAAGCCGGGACGATGTCGGGTGGACAGACCTTCTTCACTTCCTCCCAACTTAGACCGACCGCCGCCATAGCGCCTCGTTGCAGTTTAGTGTCCATAATCGCCTTACCTCTGCAATAAGCAGCCAAGACAGTTTGCTCCGGTGTGAATGTGCCGTCAGCGTACCCACAGCCCAATTCTCCAACGGAGTGTCCGACGATACCGTCCGGTTGGATACCTATCGACGTCAATACGTCGACCAGGGCGACCTGGATGGCCGCGATCGATATGAAGGCTTCTATCAGTTTCTCATCGGTGCCGTTGACAATGATGTTCATGAGGTCGAGGCCGTGGGGCTTTAACGCGTCCGCGCACCGTCGCAGGCTACGTTGGAAGGTCTCAATGCCGAGCAGCGCGCGGCCCATACCCGGCCATTGCGTGCCCATGCCGGAGAACACGAACCAGATAGGACGTCGCTCGTCGTACCTCGCCATCTCGCGCGTGCCATCGACCTCAAGTATCTCGTAACCGCGAATTCTGTGACCCGGTATGTCATTATTGTGCAACACATGTAACAACGCATGAAACTCATCGTCCTTACGATGTTCTCGCGCTTTGTCCAACAATGCGTGCACGGCCTCTTCGGTGCGACCCGATACTGCGATCAGCTTGGGCAACGATTCGGTAGTGTCCAGCACCGGTAACAGCTTCGGTTTCGGATTACTACGCAGAAGAACGTGCGCGTTTGCGCCGCCGAAACCGAACGAGTTGATGGCCACGAGTCCGCCGTTCCACGGCGTGACTTTGTCGACTACTCGAATACGTCCTTCGATCAAAGCGGGTATATCCGGATTCGGAGTGTTGAAGTGTAAATTCGGAGGAATCACGCCAGCTTCCATCGCAATCAACACTTTGGCGATGGCGCACAAGCCGCTGCCAGGTTCCGCGTGTCCCATGTTGGACTTGACCGAGCCAATCAACAACGGTGTCTTTCTGTCTTTACAGAACAGCCGGTCGATGGAGTTGATTTCCTCCGGGTCGCCTACCTTCGTGCCGGTACCATGTGCTTCCACGTAAATTACGTCTACGGGATTAATGCCCGCCTCGCTGTATACCTCACGCATCAGTTGATTCTGCATATTACCGCTCGGGTATGTGATACCTTCGGACTTGTTGCCGTCTGTGTTCGTTTTTGAGTGGACTACCGTGGCGTAGACCCTACGTGCGTCACTCGCCTTTTGCAGGTATATCGCTACCACCGCCTCAGCTCTCGCATAACCGTCGACAGTGCTGTCGAACACTTTGCACTTGCCTTCCTGGGACAGCATGCTCAGACTGTGAAATTGTAATGAGTTGGCGGGCTTCAGCACGAGATTTAGCCCACCAACGATCGCAGCGTCACAGTCACCGGCGCGCATTGCGCTGATCGCCTGATGCATCGCGTACATGGACGACGAGCAAGCTGTGTCCAAGGCGTAACTCGGCCCAGTGAAGTCGAACGCGAAGGAGATTCTATTGGCGAACATGGCTCTGCAGCACCCGATCAGTTCGTATCCTGCAAGCAGACGCGACTTCAATAACAACTTTAACGTTAAGAAATAAAGAAAATTGACATTTATTTTTATTTAAATTAGAATTTCCTCGACTCCTCGCGCCGAGGAAAGTTTTTAACAATCGATCGGCCGGTGACTCGGTTAAGACATACGAACCGCTTATTTTTTCCGTGTCTAGTGTCCAGAAGTTCTCCGAATCCGAGCTGGAGACGCCGACGAACACGCCGGTGCGTGTCCCTCTTACGGTAGATGGGTTAATACCAGCGTCAACTATCGCTTCATACGTGCTTTCTAATAGCAAGCGAAGTTGCGGGTCCATTACGTCCGCTAGTTTGGCATGCACCCCGAAGAAGGACGCATCAAAAGTGCTGATGTCTTTGATCTTGGCAAATCTGTGCGGTAGCCCGTAAATGCCAGGCGTCCAGCGGCGGTCATCGTCGGTGACCATGTCTAATCCCTTCATCAGGTTTTGCTTAAACTCCTCGATATTATCTGACTCGGGCAGGCGACCTGCAAAAATAAAAAAATATCACTCATGTTTTTGTGATCGAGAATCCGTCGCTTTGGTATGCTTACATACAGAAAAATGCATGCTGCATTCAAGTAGATGTTACTTGCTTCAAATACTTCATAAGTTTCTATATCCGCAACTCTATCACAAGTTTATCACAAGCGCGTTAAGTTTATTCAAAATACACTCTGAGTCCTAATAAGTTTAGCATCTCGATCAAATATATTTAAGTAAAACAAAAATCCGGCTTGCTCACTACACAAAATCGAGTTAATTTTGTCTTGGGTAAAGTTTTGTAATACTCTTGTAAAGAGGATAGATTTTACTTTTGGATACATGATAATGAATCTTTTTCAAACTTGTGATGAGTATATTTTAAGAGCATTTTAGCAGAAAAAAATTCTTTGCAAAAATAGCCATTACTCTAAAGAAGGGAAATAAACTAAGTAATCGTTTTTCCTAGCAGTGGAATATTTTTCGGCGTGTAACGATCGATATTGACATGCCTGGCTGTTGATTTTGTACCTGAAATGCCTGAGATGACGATGTCATTGTCGAGGGGATACGGCACTCCGTTTGTGACCACGTGCTCCCGCGTCACAGGAGCGTTGACACTTTCGAACTGTGCAGGCATCTTCGCCGAGTACTTGGGTCCAGCCCTTTGAATCGGTCCTCACCTCCTTGAACTGGAACTTTCGCCTGGAAAAGACAGAATCGATTGAACGTTTTTCGCCTCCACGACACAACGCCACAGTCGTCTTATCGATTTGTGACGTCGCAAGGTACAGGTGAGGAGGAATTCGCGTAATTCGGCGTTGGTTTTCACGACTGAACAGAGACGGGCGTATCATTCTCGCGTGTTCATGGTACCGAAATCTGGACTCGCTGCCTGACAGAGCTCTAGCCTAGCTAGAGCCGGCTAGTCGCCGGCCAGCCCGTGAACAATTACTATGCGCAATTACGCTCAATTGGCGCATAGCACACCTAATTGAGTAATCTCAATTGAGCAATTTCACTCGGAGATAAACCAATTCTGCTATAATTGTTCACGGGTGTCGCTCTTTCCCCTTCTCGTTGTCCCTTCCCCCCTCCACTTTTTCATTCTTTCACACCTCACGGACTATCATATACACATACACATACACATACACGCATGCTCCGAATACGCAATAACGCGTTGAAGAACGATGACCTGAAGTCAATACAATTTTTATATTATAATATCACTGGTATTACTGGTATAACTGTTTTAATGTTTTTGCAAAAAGAATTAAGAGAGAGAGAGAGAGAGAG